TTTGAAATCCGATTTAATATTGTTAACTGTGTGCCAAACTTTGTCATTTCATTTTCTGAATTCCGTTCAAGTTCCGCCTGCAGCGTAAGGAGAAAGGAAAGCAGATACCGCGAGATAGAAACAGAGCACTGGCTATGTGCAACAAGATATGAGTATGCAAATGTCGGAGACGTTTGCCAAATGCAAATTGCAACAGCAGTCCCAGCAACTAATGCGATTCTGTGTACACTGAATACTACTCCTATCCCTTCCCCCCTTTTCGCACCCGAATTGGCGTTCATAATGCCGCTTTAATGCCCTCCAACTAATGAGCCTACATTAAGGAAATTCGAGAACGCAGCAATTTCGGAGGCGCCACCTGCTGCTGTGGCCGATAGACTGTGAAAAATATAGCAATATTCTTACCAAAAATTATAAAATTTTGTTTATTTTTATAGCTTATTCCAAAATATTTGTATTATCTTTTTTACAACTTTAGAAAGCTGTGAATTCTTACTTAAAATTTATCTTTTTAAATTAATCTTTTGTTGTTAATTCTTAATATAAAAACCCATTTATTTTTTGGTAGTGTTAACATAAGAAAATGTAACTAAAATACTCTTAAAATTGTTTTAATTTTATTCACTAAAATATACAAATAACAAAGATATTATGATGACTGAATTAAAATATAGATACAATTTTTATTTAAAGTATTTTCACAGTTTAATTTCATTTCATAGACTTTTAAATATTATATTTTTATTATTTTATTTAGTTACACCTACAGTGTATTTGTCAAAGGTAGCTTTAGCAAGGGAGTGAGATATAGTATTGCAGTTTGTCACGTAATTTATTAAAATGCTATACACACACACATATACCAGAGGGGGCGTGGCCACAAAAGGAGGGCCGGGCGGAGGAGCTTAGAGGGACAATTGGCGTAATCATCGTTATGCCATCGTCATAATCAGCGATGCCATTGTATGCCTCGGCAGCAGCTCATTGATTTGCAATTATGGAACGTGCTACATTTGGCGAGGTAGTGCCAATTTAACTCCAACCCTTTGGATTCAAGTCAAACGATTTAACTTAAAGCCGCAATACGGATTATTAAGCAGTAAATACATTGAATTTGACGCATTTGTCTGCATAATTGAATTAATTTTGACTTGTCAGCTGGAGTTTAATATTTAATATTAGTTTCTCTTAACTATTTGTATATATTTGGGATTGATTAAAGAAAATAATGATTATTCATACAAAATATTTTGTTATGCTTTCTCAAAACAATCTTTATGTTTTTTCCTTACCCGAAAAAAACTTGAACTTTAATACCGTAAATTCGCTTTGCTTCTCGTGGCTTTTTGTCGCCATATTACAATGCTTAATTTTATTGCTCGCTTTTATTGTTGTAATTTTGTGAAATCTTCGCCTGTTCTCTGTACTTTTTTTGTGTTTCTTGAGTTGCTCTTGTTTTCTTATGTTAAAAAACTTTTGCAATTGTGTGCTACTTGCTATCTCTTTCGCCATTGTTGCGTCTGTGTGCGAGTGTAAAAATTAGCCTCATTTTGTTTGGCTTTTGTGCTGCCTGCCATTTGGTGGGTGGCCCTGCAGTAAATCAAAAGTTGAAAATTATAATAAAGTCACTTTTGCTGTTGCTATATCATGTACCACCCCTCCTGTCCCCTCTACCAGCTCCAGCTTTTCCCATTCCATCTCCATCTGTCTCTGCTCAAGTTTTTATCAAGTTCGGGTGCAGCAGCAGCCACAAAAAACTTATTTCCTTTGCTGGTGTGGCTAATAAAAAGCCAAAACAATTTAGATTAACTGTAAATTGTGTTATTTTGTTTAGCCAGCGAGTGGATTTGTCGTCCTTGTCGTCCGTACTCCTTGCTAATGCTCTTTGAGCTGGTAATTTGTAAATGCCCTGCAAAGTAGGCAACACTTTTGTGAGCCCAGCAAAAGGAAGTGAACACAAAGGTCCAGGGGGTTTTATAGAAAGAAAAAAAAACGGAAGAAGGCAGGAGGTGAGCAGCTGCTTTTGCGATAAATAATGCTTGAATAATTACAAGGAACATGTAAAAGCTGATTTTGAAAGGAATGTCGACAAATATGATTCCAGAAAAGGCAAAGAGGTTGGCTCGAAGAATTTATCAGTGATCTTTAGGATTTTTTATAGGTTTTCTTAAGCTTGAAATAGTCTACAATTTAGTAAAAATTAGTTTAATGACAAAATGAAATTGTATTATTTTATTTGCTGCATAAACTCTCTTAAAAATTACTAAGTTAGTGCAGCCTTGTCATTTAAAAGTTATTTTTAGATAAAGCAGAATGTCTACTTAAATCGACATAGCACTTAACATATTTTTAAAATTTTATTAATAATAAATTTACTCCTTTAAATTTTACAATCAGTTAAGTTAATAAACCTTTCCAGCCACCCTCGGTAGTTTTGCATTTAGAAAGAGAGGTCTCGACTTCCGTCAATTTCTTATGCTGCCTCCACCGAGCTTCCACTACCTTTGGCTCCTTCCATCGTCCTGCGACATTTGACTTGCTCTCGGGGCGGGCTATCCTTTGTCTCCGAAATCGGGTGAAATGGCCACTCAATGCGCTCTGTTAATTTTGCTCCACAAATGAAACTGGGACTCTGCGCAAGGGCTTAGGCCGAGCTATCACTAAATGCGCTTGAATTATTTATAAAAGGCATATTCATGAGCACTACCAGCAAGGTAAGTGGGCGACGCTGAAGCTGCTGAGGCTTTGGGAAACGGAAATGTTAACTAGTTCCAGCAGAAGCGAACCAGCTTGACAATGGCATTAGAATGTCGAAAAGTTTTAGCCCGGCAACCGCTTACTCACTCAATTAGCACGGTCAGCTCGCCGGCTTTTTATGCAAATCTCAGTGGGCGGAAGGTGGGAGGGGGATAACCAAATGAGGGCGTGGCAATGAGAACCATTAGATGGTACATCAACTGTACATTAACGTGTCTGTTTTTGTTTCATTAGCAAGGACAGCAAAGGGTTACACTTAAAGAAAGGACTTTAAAAAACCAAGAAGTCTTGTAAAGGTTAAAATTTTAGTTGTAATAATAATACCTTTACTGATTAAGAACTTTAAAAGTAAAACCATTCCTAAATTCACAGAAATTAAAGGGAATACCCAAAAAGGATATTAAAATATTATGAAAAACTTCAAGATATAGTTTCTAAAAAAAATCGTTTTGTAAAGTGTAAAGTTTAGAGGACTGGACCGTATCCTGCGGCTTCTTAGGTCTCAAGTCCCGGCGACTTGACAGTGGCAGCATCAGCTGGAGTTGCAACAGCAGGAGGCGGCCACAAGCCTTTAACAAAAGCTGACAGAGACCAAAAGGAAAGCGGAGATGGAGGTAGAGATGGCAGAAAATATGGAGGGAAATGGAGGAAAACCGAGAATGTTATTTGGCTTTTGCATATGGAAGGAATGATGATGGCACTTTCAGTGAATTGCCTGAATATCAAGTGCGTATGAAAGATGAAACGCACAGGGCAGAAAGAGGCAATAAAATAACAAGAAATATGGCCAATCGATGAATGTTTCTAGGTGCACTGAAAGTGCAAGGTAAATAGGAGCGCCACGAGAAGGATCAACTTTAAGGAAGCTTGAAACAATATTGAAAGTTTTAACAGAACATTTATATTGTTTAATTTGATTTTAAAAACTTCTGAGCAAATCAGTTTATCCTCCAATAGTCACAATTTTGCGATTAAATAATTAATTTAATTTCATAATGTTACCTGCCACTTTGCCATATCACTGGCGAAATTCACTTAAATCCTGTAATTTGTTGATCAATCAAACATTAATTCCCCGACACAAAAAAATAACGCATGTTTCTGCTGGACATCACTCAAACTGCTGTATAAATCCACGCCCTCTTTGGCTTTGTGCGTGTGACATATGCAAATATTTATCCATCGCTCCTTTGGCTTTTGCAGGCCATCAGGACCCCCTCCATGTCACTCACTTTTCCTCCAGTACAGTTGTGCTGGAAATTATACAAATTCGTTGCATGCAAAACTGAGGTCAAAATAATAGCAATTGTAGTTAGCTCATTTCTTACAACTAGGGAGAGGCAGCTTTGTTTGAACTCAAGAAATATATTTAAATATCTTAAAAAGCACTACATATTATATAAAAATTATAAAAATTATAATATATTTCAGTACCTAAAAGGTTAATAATTTATAATTAAATAATATGGAGGTACTTTCATCCACAGGACATTACTTTGCTTTCTTAATTTACTTTTACATTTTTCACAGAATTTATTTTCAGAATAAAAAAGTCTAGTTCTTAATTAAAATTGCTAGAATTTCAGTCTCTACTGTATGGATGTAGTAAACAAATACACTTGCGCTGTGGTAAAGTCAGGGCCATGAAAGTTAAGTAAATATATAAACAGGCATTGGCTTACGCTTGCCTGCCTGTCAGCCTCTTTATTATTGTTGTTTGCACTTGTTGTTGCCGGCTGCTATTGATATATGTTCATATGCAGACACATACACATACACATACGTTTATACACACGTAAATCAAAAGGCATGTAAGTTGCGTAAACAACATTGAAAATCAGTTATATTTTACTGCATTATAAACTACCCAATAACAAGCCATCCGCACTCTCCCTTACTTCATGGAATAAAAAAAAAGAATAATGTATCGCTAGGCTTTTTTTTCGCACTGACCTTATGCGTAATTCTTTCGATAAATTGCGCGTGAATGATGCATAAATCAAATAAAGTTAAAAATTATTATATACGCGGGGAGGGAGAGAAGAGTCCCGTCAAATATATCGATCGAGTTAACAACGACATAGCAAACTTTTTGGGCCCGTCAAGACAAACGAAAAATGTGAAAAATATATATAAGGGATATTTAACAAGGGTTTAAGGGTAATTTCCATGAAAGCTAAGCTATTTTATCTGGTATTTTATAAATAAATAAATATTAAATATTAAATAATAAAACAATGAAATGTTGTGACTCAAATTCCACTTTATTGATGTCCCTGTGCATTCAGATTTTCTTTCCAGTATTCTGTTTTCATCCCATCTGACTTATTCGATTTCGGTTCCAATGGAAATAGATCAGAAAACAGAAAAAGGCCGCCAACCCGATAACACCGCACCAGAAGCTAAAGGATCCACAGTTGTAGCCATCGCGGTAAACGTCACAAATGTCGCCGCCAACAATCAAGTTCAGCTTTTCCCTTACGCTAGGTGCTCTTGCCATGGGAATTTTACCAGGGATGCCGAATTTGAGCCACAAATTTTGAAACATTTCACAGAAATTCTATGAGTGATGTGAGGGCCAGGGGCTCCTGGGATGCTAACAGGTCGAAAAAGTTGCCTAACAATGATGAATCATCGGTTGCGGGAAACAGGATGCTTGTGCCGCGTTCTGCGTCCTGCGACATAATTGAATTTAGTGCTAATGATGGCATTGACGACAGCACATAATATTCATCATTAATTCAGGCAGGCATTAATTGATTGATTATTTGATTGCATTATTGTCAATATCACAATTGCAATTTGGTCGCTCCGCTTCAGCGGCTCCTCTATACATATCTGTATCCTTGTTGTCAGTCGAGCCTGACACATTCGCGATATTGAATGTTTGTCATCGGGGCAACAGCATTGATAATAATAATTTAGCGCAATTTACATGCTGACAGCCATAATTAATCGATGCGTCGAGGCCTCCAAACAGGACTCGAATATACAGCCTTGAAGGGACGCATTATTTGCGATGGAAGCTTAATCAATTCATGGGCAATAGACTGTACCAGCTATAGGAACTGGATGTACATGCACCATTATATTTATATACTAATAATATAGAAAAAATCTGAAGGATTCCTTTCTTACCAGCTTTCCCCATTTTACGCTTCCTTTCTTTTTCCAGCATGTTAATTCACTTGGTCCCTCGTAGCAGGTGAATATTTAACTTAAGAATAAGATAAAACTTACATTTTACTGCGGAAAAGAAGGCAAGTGCTTAATTTACATTTAACTTTTCGTCGTCCCCTTTCTCCCACGGCAATTATCTGGCCCGGGGAGATTCTAAGCGAAATTTGTGCGCCCTGCAATTATACAAAAATTCATCTCGGTCCCGGTTCTTTTGTACTGCATTATTCATGGGCCGGGGCTAAGCAAATTAAAAGCCAGCCCCAGCTGGGCAAATAATTGTTTGAAGTTCGCTTTTGGCCTGGCCTGTAATCTGCCACAGTTCTGGCCACTAATTTCGCCTTGAGACAAAACCGCCTACCACAGAGAGTGTACTCCACGAGAGCACTAAGCTCAATTGAAATTGCTTCTGGAATACTGAGAGGAGCCTACCATGCCGTAGAGTAATTGAAATATCGGCAGTGAGTTCAACTCGTAAATTATGCACGCGAAAAACACAAAAAAAACGAGAGGAAACCCAAAACTGTTGGCTCTGCAAACTAAAGATAGAGATGAAGGAGGCAACTTTCCCTGAGATTCTCTTTAATTTATAATTTATCAGTTTTGTGCTTTTGAAGCTGTTCTTGGCCAACCAACAAGCCAACTTTGATTGCGGTAATTAGCAAATTGTGCAATTCCCACAAGAGCCACGCCCCTTACCTACTTACCTTAGGAGCGGGCACCTAATTGAGAGCAGGAATTACGTTCTCCAAATAAAGAAAAATATTTAATACTTTGGGTTTTACTGATAATTATAATATTTATTATATTATTTTAGTATAATTTCAATATTTATGTTCAACTTCTGAAGATATAGAAAAACAGAAGGAACTGATATACATTTTCTCGTTGTGTGCCTGGCCAACTAAAATCCCGTGAAAAGGGTAAACAGGGTAAACCAATTTGCCAAGGGTCCCGGGAATATCTGTCTGAATATATATGTGCATATATATATCGCACAATGAAATTGCCTATGTGGCAATATACGTAGTTTCCTGCCACAGGTCGGGCTTCGTTTTTTTTCTTCCTGGCTTTTATTATCGTTACTTTGAGGCTGCCACAATCCAATGGCCAATGCCCAACCCCTGCTGGTTTTTTGTCAGGTGAAAACCTAAGCTAAGCAAACATACAAAAAAGTGTTAGTATGCTCAACGCGACACTCGCCAACGAGGGAACCCCATCCTTCCCATCAAAAAATGTCCTTTTTAGCAGAGAGGACACGACACCCACAGCCACATACACATGCGTATGTAAAAATTTCCGACGTGATGTAAATTTCTATTGAATGCTGAATGGGCAGAAAAAATATTTTTAATGGTCTTTTGGCCAGCCAAAGCGAACGGGATACAAAGGACCAGCAACCAGGAGCAGTAACCCATGGCGCATCAGAATTGTCGGCAGTTGAATGAATTGTCAATTGGATGGGATCGGTGGGACAGATGTTATTCTGTGGTCAGGAGAGCCCAAAACTACTCTGCATAGGCCAGTTTGCTTATTTTTGTGGAATAATAATCAGGATTCGAACTGAAAGCTTGCAGTTTAAGATGAAGGTGTGAAGAAGGAAAATAAATGCGGACTTTTCGGTTGGGTTATGTAATTGCATTAAGGAAAGTTTGTTTCATTTAAAAAGCTAATTCGAACCTTGTAAGCTATTGTCATTTACAAAGCATTCAAATACAAAAAATATACATTATTATTCGATTTAATCTTCATTTTAATTTTTACATAATAACCATAAGAATCCTATTAAATTCCTCATCGGAGTTCCATATCTTCTCCATAAATGTTTGCCTTAGCTTTTCACTTAAATTTCCCATTCCGATTTCTATGAAAATGCAATAGAAAAACACATGTCGCAAATCTATCAATGCCAAAGCAGACCCAATCAATTTATCCTGTTTGCCAGGCGCCACATTTCCCATTTTACCAATTCCATCACTCAAAAAAGAAATACTTTAAACCATTTACGTTTTGTCATAATTGCAAATTCCGTTATCAGATCATCGGAAATAAACACAGAGACACACTCACACACAAGTGGACAGGGAACATGACCTTTATCAAATCAAACTTAATTCCCATGAAATCCGCATCAACTGCGTGCAACATCGTTGACCTTGTGCCCCATGCAAAGCAGCGTCAACTAAAAACCAGTGAAAATTCCGCAAAATAACAGCAGAAATAAATCGAGAGTTGGGTGGGTTGGGAACGGGAAAGGGAAAGGGAAAACAGCGTGACATGTCATTATTGGACTTTGACAGGCAAATTCTAAAATTCAAATATTCCAAATCGATGGGAGAGACAGAGGGAGAGCTGCAGAGGCGGACAAGTAAGAGGGGATCAATGTCTGTGTATTTATGGAACTTTCACAAAGTATTTGAATATGTATGGCGTATTGTATTTTTGCATAATTTGACATGTAAAACATTTACAACAATGCACAGCGAACTCGGAAAAACGTGCTGTTTGGTCGGAGGAGGAAAATTATGGAAATATTGCATCATGTGCCGCATGCCAGAGAAAATTGTGCGGCTTTTCTATTTTGATTGCAGTTGATTGTTGTTGCTAGCTTATACCCTGGGCAAGGGTGTATTCGATTTTCCATGAAATAGGATTTAAAATGGTTTTAAATCAAAGTGGAATATTTAAATAGTTCTTGGGGGAAGAGAACAAACTAACTGCTAAGTTTATATATATTTTTACTTGTATCTTTAATTAAAATTATAATTAATAATCATAAATTTCATATTCTTGTTACTCATATTTATCTTAGCTTTGTAATAAAATGTATATACTATGTATACCGCATGTCTCAATTATTTCTATTGTTTCACCTCACTTTAGAAGCCATTGTCCTCGAATATCGATGATGTAAGGAGCTTGGCACGTACTTGGACTTCTTGCTCTCTCGTCGCCTTGTAATTATGTTTATATGCATGCAAAATTTGAAATACCAAATAAGAAATGCACCTGCACACAACACTCTCTTGCTCGGATGTGGTTCTATTTTTTACCTGTCCCACGGCGGGTTTGTTGTTTATGTTTCGGTGTCAGGGAGCAAAGTGCAGTCAGTTCTTTATGCAAATATGCCAAGTTTAGAATGCGATTTCAAGTGTTTTGCCGTCTTGGTTTGGGAAAGGTATTGCAAGTAAGTATGCAAACAAAATATCATAAAACATATATAGATCTATAATCATTTTACACATACTAAAAATAAACTTGTAATATAAGAGTTTCAAACTAAATTTAAATCGTTTTCTATTGAATTTACTACTTGTCATAAATATAATTTATATAATTTAATATCATAACACCCTCCCTACTTTACACTTATTGTAAGCACTGTATAAGCCTTCCTTCTGTTCGTTGCCATCTTGCTCACACACATTTATCTTAAGCAAACGTTTTGTTGTCATATTTATTTATCAACAGGCAACAGAATGCGGCAAACTTCTTTGGCGACGCCTCAAAACGGCGTAACAAAATAATTCTGTTCTTCCCAAATTTATGTCAGCTTAGATATGTAATGCGGATATAGCCGAATGCGAGAAATCTTCATGTAATCTGTGGCAAAGTTTCCTCAGCTCTGCATTATTCTTCAGCCAACAAAAATTCAAGGTGAGCACTTCGGCTTAAAGCTGTCGCCTGGCTTTTGTTTATTTCAATAAAAAAGCAATTTATAAAACCCGGTTTACCTGATGTGCCGCGGAATTTCCCCTTCCCGTCAGTTGTCTACCACCGAAGTTATGCAAATATCTATGGAGTAACCAAAAAAGCGTCTGTCATATGGGTCATAAAAGGCACTTTTTATTGCTCATTTGACAATATGGCTGCAGCCCACAGCGCCGCCTCTTTTGATGCCAAATCTAAATAATTTGGCAATTTCGTGCTGATTTTATTACAAGCCACAAAAGGGCAGACATTAAAAGGTAGCAAAGAATAACAGCGAGCCAAGGAAAGGTATTCCATAGAGGTCTGGGCCTGGCGATAAGACTTGATTAAAAATGCCCCCTGACATACAGGGCGTATGTGCAATATATTTCTTAAATGCAAAACAAACAAGAAGTAAAATGCAAAAAACTCATTAAGTTGCAGCTACTGCTAAATTAATATTCTTTTATATTTATTATATAAACTTGTCTGAAGATTTTGTCATAACTTATAAGTTTACATTAGAAAAATAAAAAAATTTTACGCTCATAACAATTTTAGATTTACTGCCTATAAAAGTTTTGAAACCTCTTGGTTTAATGTGTGTACTTAAATATATTTTTTATAGACAATTTAATTTATATTACTGCATATTATGCCCATCAATTTAAATTATATATTTCCTTATCGATTAATTTTATTATTTTTACAATCACGTCTAATTTT